TGTTAATCCACGTTTTGTCTTTGGTTGGGTGACACCAGTAGTAAATCTGGTCAAGGAGTGCTGCTAAGTAGTAGCTGTGTAAGTGTGGGAGGTTAGCTCCTCCTTTATTGTAAGGACTGATTAGCAGGTTATTGGTGCATCTAGGACGTTTTGATTCCCAGATGAAACAGGAAAATTGTTTTTGCGCTGTGTTGAAAAAATGTATAGGGATGGGTATTGGGAGGGTTCAAAGATATAGAGGACTTTCAGTAGTACAAACATTTTTAAAGTGACTACTCAACCTAGTTTAGATAATCCAAATGTCTGGAATGATTGGAGTTCTTGAGGGAAAGAGTGTAAGAATGCCTTGTGATTTAACTCATAAAGGAGTGAGGTCGATGCTGAAATATTGACTCTCAGATAGGGAAGAGATTGTTTTGCCCATACAAATGGATATTGCTTAGAGAGAATGTGTTGGAAACTTTTTGGTGTGTGTAGGTGTAAGATTGATGATTTATTTTTGCTGAGTTTGTAGTAAGATACATCCGTATATGAGTGTAGTATTTCTCTGATTCTGCGTAATGATTGAGTAGGGTTTGTTATCATTAGTATGATATCATCAGCAAAAAGACTGATTTTATGTTCATTACTTTGGAAGGTAATACCTGAGCAATGTGGATCGTCATGGAACTTTATGGCCAAGGGTTCGATGAGTAAGATGAATATTATTGGGGGACAATGGGCAGCCTTGACGGGTGCCATTTGTGATGTAAAATGGTTTTGAGAGCATACAATCAGTAAGTACTCTGGCAGAGGAGCAGGAGTAGAGTGACATGATGGCCCTTTGGATCCATCCTGTTATTCCAAGTTTTTGTAAAACTGCTCGCATAAATCCCCAGTGAATGCGGTCGAACGCCTTCTTTGCATTCAAGGATAGGAGCAGAGAAGGTGTTTGATGATCTTGTAAATCATGGATTAAGGAAATCAGGTGTCTAGTGGTGTCTGGAGCCTGACGGCCTGGTACGAAGCCTACTTGGTCTGGGTGTATTAGAGATGGGATAATCGGGAGTAGTCTGCGGGCTAGAATTTTGGCATATAATTTGATATCTGTGTTTATTAGAGATATAGGTCTGTAGTTTTGTACTAATTATGGGTCTTTACCTGGTTTTGGAATTGTCGTGATCAGTGGCGTCCCGAGGCAGGTGCAGGGGGGGCAGTCCGCACCGGGTGACACCGACTGCACAGGGTGACACTGGATCCGCTCCACAAAAAGGTAAGTTGTAAAGCAAGCCGACGATCTCCGCAGGATGGATCGGATCCATCCTGTGGGGATTGTCGGCCTCCTTTACAACTTACCTTTTCTTGGAGCGGGTCCAGTGTCACCCTGTATAGGTTGCATGCGGACGATCCTGCGGGGTGACACCAGTGTATCAGCAAGATCTGTCTCCCATGCAGGGGCGTATCCACTGTGAGGCAATATTTAGGGGGGGCACTGCGCTCCCCCCAAAGAAGGGACCCTTTGAGCAGCGGAGGACAGCACAAAGATCAATGTGGGGGAGGGCAGTTGCAGAGCGATGATCGTGCACCTCTCCCTCCAGCAGCTGACAAGCCAGGACCAGGGGAATGCCTGGAGCAGGGAGAGAAGAGATGAAAGAGCCCATAAGAGGTGAGCTGTGTTGTCTTCTGTGGGCTCTCCCTCCTGTCAGCCATCCAGCAGATTACACTGATCACTGACAGATCGTATGGGGACTGCACACACCTCCCCCCCTTCCTGCTGCATGGAGATCAGCAGCCCTTGGAGAGGGGGGAGGGGTGTGTGTGTGTGTGTGTGTGTGTGTGGTCCCATATGATCTGAGGAAGGGGGGCTGAGAAAAAAAGGGAAGAGGGAGGGAAGAGAGAGAGAGGGAAGAGAGAGGTGGGGGGAGAGAGGGAAAAGAGAGAGGGGGGGAAGAAGAGAGAGAGGGGGGGGGGAGAGAGAAGGAGAGGGAAGGAAGAGAGAGAAAGGGGAAGAGAGAGAGGAAAAAGAGGGAGAGGAAGGGAAGAGAGAGAGAGGGAGGGAAGAGAGGGATGAGGGAGAGGAGGATAAAGAGAGAGAGGGAAGAAAGAGAGAGGGAAGAGAGAGGGGGGAAGGGGGGAGAGAGAAAGAAAAAGAGAGAGAGGGAAAGAGAGAAGGGGGGAGAATGAGAGAGAGAAAGGAGGGGAAGAGAGATAGAGAGGGGGGGGAGAAAGGGGGGGAAGGGAGGGGGAGAAAAGGAGAGGGAGAGAGAGAACAGAAAGAAAGGGAGAGAGAATCATATAAGGTAAGGGGAAGGGGAATTCAATGTATTTAGACTGTAGGACTTCTTTGCAAATCCTGCCTATTACTCTCAGTAAATTTTAATGTGTGTCTAAAAGAGCAGAATCTCCCATCAGAATACAGTGTTGTGCATTAGCAAAGCTCTAGGATGGCTCTTACTTAAAGTGATTGTAAATGTTCACCTTGGAAAACAACCCATTCAGTTTAAAACAGAAAAGCAAAACATTTCTGCATACATATAAAAAAAATTATAAATACTTTTTTCCTTTTTTTTATATAAGTGACCACATTCTTCTATTCTCAGCTGCATAAAAACAGAGGGAAGCTGAAACAGCAGCACATTAGTTCTTCCAGTGAAAGGCTATACAGGGGTGTGTGTCAGCATAAGTCTGATCATTGAAGGAGAGCATACTGAGTTCCCATCATAGCTGGAGAACTGTCCATGGTTTGCACTCCTTAGTGTGGTCAGTTTTTTTTTTAGGGAAAGTGGAGGAACTGGCAGGAACACCAGCAATTTCACACAAAGGAAGCAATACAAAGAACAGGATAATTTTCATACAGGTACAGCAGGCACATATCAGGAACATGAAATGTTGTGTTAACATATTCTATAAAGTTTGTGGGTGTGACAGTGTGATTTGCATAATGTATGCATGCCTTTTGTAACATTAACACATAAAGAGGATTTCTTGGGTTTTGTAAATGTATTCTGCTTCTAGTGTAGTCAAGAGACTTGAATCCCAGAGGATGGAGAAAGTTACACTGGGCATACTTCAGCCTACAAAATAGGAGGAGGCACTGGAAAGAACTTGAGTAAAAATGCTTTAACCACTTGACAACTGGGCTATTGCCGAATGATGGCTACAGAACTCTGTAGTCCAGTTCTGGGAGGGAGTCATATGATGTTTTCCCAGAATGCACCCCCAGCAGCACGGGCACCCAACGCTGTCTGTGATCGCTGTGTCCTACAGACACAGCTGATCACATGACATGGTAAAACGCCAATCACAACGGCCTTTTACCACATGATCACAAAGTAAATACAGTTGCTGGTTATTTATTATATATATATATATATATATATATATATATACTGCTCAAAAAATTAAAGGAACACTTTTTAATCAGAGTATAGCATCAAGTCAATCAAACTCCTGCGATACTGATCTGGTCAGTTAAGTAGCAGAGGGAGTTGTTAATCAGTTTCAGCTGCTTTGGTGTTAATGAAAATAAACAACAGGTACACTAGATGGGCAACGATGATAAGACCCCCAAAACAGGAATTGTTTTACAGGTGGAGGCTGCTGACATTTTTTTCCCTACTCATCTTTATTGACTGTTTTTTACTAGTTTTGCATTTGGCGTCAGTCAGTGTCCCTACTGGTAGCATGAGGCAATACCTGGACCCTACAGAGGTTGAACAAGCAGTCCAACTCCTCCAGGATGGCACATCAATATGTGTCATTGCCAGTCTGTTTTTTGTTTCTCCAGCACAGTCTCAAGAACATGGAGGAGATTCCAGGAGACAGGCAGCTACACTAGGAGAGCTGGACAGGGCTGTAGAAGGTACTTAACCCATCAGTAGGACCGGTATCTGCTCGTTTGTACAAGGAGGAACAGGATGAGCACTTCCAGAGCCCTACAAAATGACCTCCAGCAGGCCACTGGTGGGAATGTCTCTGCCTGAACAATCAGAAACAGACTTCATTAGGTTGACCTGAGGGCCCAATGTCCTCTAGTGGGCCCTGTGCTCACTGCCCAGCACCATAGAGCTTGATTGGCATTTGCTATTGAACACCACAATTGACAGGTCCACCACTGGTGTCCTGTGCTTTTCACAGATGAGAGCACGTTCACCTTGAGCACATGACAGATGAGATGAGATGTTGCCAGCGGTTTAGACATTAATGGACGTCTGCAGGGGTGGACTGACAACTCATGGGGCCCTCGGGCAATAGGGGATCATGGGGATCATGGGGTCCCTGTGTCCTTGCCCAAACTCAAAAAAGCCTATGAAAAAGGTAGCAGGGGCATCTCATGGGGCCCCCTACTGACCTCGGGCCCTCGGGCAGTGCCCGAGTTTCCAAATGGTCAGTCCGCCCCTGGCTGTGTGTTGAGTTATTTTGAGGGGACTGCAAATTTACATTGTTATACAAGCTGTACACTCACTACTTTACATTGTAGCAAAGTGTCATTTCTTCAGTGTTGTCACATGAAAAGGTATAATAATATACTTACAAAAATGTTTGGGATGTACTCACTTCCATGAGATACTGTATATATATATATATATATATATATATATATATATATATATATATATATAGTGCTCAGCTTAACTGAGTATACCCCTTTTGAAAAGTAAGATTTTAATCAATATCTCAATGAACACAAGGACAATTTCCAAAATTTTGACAACACTGCATTTTAAAGAGCATTTGTTTAGCTCATTGCATGAAAGTAAAGTTAATAATATAACTTCGATTACAAAATCTTCAGTTTTACTCAAATTAGTTGATGCAAAAATAAATACACCCCACAACAAAAAAACTGCTACAGCTAGCATTTGTATGACCGCCATGATTTTTATGGACAGCACAAAGTCATCAAGGCATGGAATGAAAAAGTTAGTGACATATTGCAACATCTATCTTTTTCAATTCTTCAAGAACAACCTCTTTTAGAGCCTGGATACAAGATGGAGAGTGATGCTCAACTTGACTCTTCAGAATTCCCCATAGGTGTTTGACAGGGTTCAGATCAGGAAACATATTTGGCCACTGAATCACTTTCACCCTGTTCTTCTTCAGAAATGCAACAATGGCCTTAGATGTGTGTTTAGGATCATTGTCAAGTTGGAAAGGTGCTCAATGACCAAGGCCACCAAGTGATGGTAGCATCTTCTCTTAGTGATGGTAACATCTCTCAATATAGATCAGTACATCTGTGAATTCATGATACCATCAATGAAATGCAGCTCCCCGACACCAGCAGAACTCATGCAGCCCCACAGAAGGACACTGCCACCACCATGTTTCACTGTAGGCACCATGCATTTTTCTTTGTACTCACTCACCTTTGTGACGCCACACAGTTTTGAGACCATCAGTCCCAAAAACATTTATCTTGGTCTCATCACTCCTAGAGTACAGAGCCCCAGTAGTCTTCTTCTTTTTCAGCCTGGCCCTGGCAAATTCTAGGTGGGCTTTTTGTGCATGGACTGTAGGAGAGGTTTTTTTCGTGGACAACACCCATGCATGCCATTCTTCTGCCGTGTACACCGTATTCTGTCATGGGAAACAATCACCCCAGTTTGGTTTTCTACTTCCTTAGTTTACTGCAGTGAACTTGCATGGCGATTTGCTTCAACCCTTCTCATCAGAAGACGCTCCTGATGAGGTGCTAACTTCCGTGGATGGCCTGAACGTCTTTGTGAGATAACTGAGTTCCAACTTTGTTAAAATTTTGTATCACTTTTGCTACAGTATATTCTGACTGATAAGTAAAGCTTTGCTGATCTTCTTGTAGCCTTCACCTTTCTTGTGTAAAGAAATTATTTTTGTTCTCAGGCCTTGTGTCATTTCTCTTCCATGTGGTTCCATTGCTGACAGCATGAATTGGGAGGGGTTTTCTTTGTTAAGTAATGCCCTTTTATAATCAACTGTCTGATAGACACCTGTTTAATAAATAATTAGAATCACCTGTAGTTGAATTTTTGTTAATTAGGATTTTGTTGTCAAAAACGTATCTTTGCTCCTAAGACTTTCATTGGGGTGTATTCATTTTTGCAACATGGTCTTGAATGAATTTGTTAAGAAAAATACTTTTTTGTGTGTACAAACTAGCAAATCTTGTTTGCAATCAATGGCCAGCATTTGTGGGAGTATTTTGTAGTATAGTGTGCCATAGAAAATATTGTTCTGAATGTTATTTGAATAGTGTTGTACATACTAGTGCTGTACATTAAGAAGAATGTATATTTTTAGGATTATCATATGTTCAGTGTGTGTGCGTGGGGGGAAGGGGGGGGGGGGGGTGTTGTTCGTTTAGTATAGGAGCTGGTCTCTTAATGATTTTATACATACTGTATATTGTATATGGTACAATTGTGAATGTTTTTTTTCAGAGCATGGAAGGGGTAATAGTATTATTTAATAAGAAATATTATACAAAACAAAAAAACCAGCTAGGTGAAAAATTGATCTGAACAGTGACTGCATCCTGTCAGATATTGCCACAGCGTGGATATACAGGTAATCTGCTGTGGGGGTCCATCCATTCACACTGTTAGCATGGATGGGGAAATTACTTAATTTTCTTTTGTGCAATGCATAGAGTTTAATACACAATATATGGCAAATATGTGTAGAAGCAACATTGTCTTATTAAGACTCCTTTTGCAGTATAGACTATAAGGGATCATTCACTCTTCTCCATCCCTGTGTGTTGGGTTAGAACACATTGGGGTTGATTTACTAAAACTGTAGAGTACAAAATCTGTTGCAGCTCTGCATAGAAAGCAATCAGCTCTAGGTTTTTTCATCAAAGCTTAATTAGAGGCTGATCTGCTACAATGCACAGCTGCACCAGATTTTGCACACTCTAGTTTTAGTAAATTCCCCCTAATTATGTTAAATGTTAACATGCATTGCTTTAAGGCAGCCCATTCATTTTGAATGGTCTGATAATGCATAGGAACAAACTAAAGAAGGACATTTTTCACAGTACACCATAACGCATGGCAGTGCATTACTGTGCATTGTGGTGTGCTGCATTACATGTGCATCATAACTGTTTTGCCTTAGTGTGTTGGGGTGTTATTAAAAATTAGTGAGTGTGGGTGATGTTTATATTTTTCAGTCATGTTAAGGGTTTGGGATGTTAAATGCATAATAAATAATATCCTGTTCTCTTTGCATTGCTTCCTCTTATGTGAAATACCTGGTGATCCTGCCAGTCCCTCTGCTTTCCTATTTCAAACTGAGCACATCAGGACATGGAAGCACATCTATCCCAGGATGGTCAGTTTGTTTCTTTGCATTCTACTTGGAAGCACAGCCAGCCTGTACTCCAGTGGTCAGACTTGTGGTGATATGCCTCCCCCCAAACAGCTTCTCACTGAGAAAAATTAGTGTACTGCTGCATATTATGTACTGCTGTTTCTCTGCCTCCTGCTGACAAGCTCCCACACCCAGCTCCTCACAATGTATTTCTGTCTCTGCTTTTTACACAGGACTATGCCCATGCTCTATTTAAGCTGCTGCTGTCACCCCCTTCCTTATTGCTCCACTTCCATATGAGTCCATTGTCCAGCAGAGATCAGAAATCATGTGATCACCTATAAAAAAAAATGGTATTTGAATTATATATATATAGACACACACACACACACAAATGTTTTCCTTGTCTTTCTATTTTAAACTAATTTTACAAAATTTTGAAACATTTTACAGAGTAAAGGTTCACATACACTTGAGGACCAGAGGCATTTCTGGACTCTATTTGATATCACTTGTTTGCAGCACAGAAATCCATGCATTGTCAACTACCAGCATTTTTACAGTAGTATTACTTTTCTATTTGTTGTAGCAAACTAAATGTTTGCGGTTACCATACAATAGCTTTCTAGAATTTATGCACGATGAATAGTTCACAAATACATAATTCATGCTATCAGCCTGCTACAGATGAAAATAAAGAACTCTCATAGATTAGAGTTTAAAATGCTGTTGTATTATAGATTCTTTTGATCCATAGACAATGTTTACCCCAAAGTTAAACTGAGGTCTGCAATATTTAGAGAGATACAAAATGCAGAAAATATGTTGTCATTTATCCCTTATGGTTACATGAACTTGTTAGGCAAAAATCATATTTTTTTCTGGGTTTAAATTTATTTCCTTTTTCTCTGACAAGGTTTTTCATTGTATTTGCAAATATTAAAATCTATGCAATGTTATTATTTGACAAAGACAAGAATAACCCTGAAAAAGATGATTTTTAACATATACTACATTTTAAAAACAGTACATTTTTTAGCATTTTACATTCACAGATTGTATTGTGTAATCTTGTCATTATTCTGAATAATTGTCATTTGATGTGTTGATTAATTTATATAATTAGTCCCATTTATGACTGTCAGAATGATTGATTTTTTTATCATTTGATAGCTTTTTCTTTAAAATGTAACACAAAATATAGTATACAATGTCCCTTCCAAACTCTAACAAGCTTGAATACCTTATGAGTATTTCCTTTAAACTGTTTTATGCATAATTATTTATTTTTACAAGGCAATTTTAAATTTAAGATGCTATAGTAAAGGCAAACTACCTGAAACATTTACAATACAGACATAGCTTTTTTATTTTATTATTTAATATTAGGTCTACATTTTCTTTATATGGAGAACAATGGACAGAACTTTTGGTAAATTAACTTTACTTGTTCACGGTTATTAAATGCAGCACATTAATATTGTTCATCCAACGTTCATAAACATTATTTGTTCTCTCCGCTTTACACACGATAATTAAAAAAACATTGCTTAAGTTATTTAAGATTCTGATATTATATTTCTAAACTAGTATTCTTCTTTATCTCAATTGTTTCTGCTTGGCCTTACTTTTATCATAATATAATTCTAAAAATCCATATTTAAAGTAATTCTGAAGACTTTTTTTTTAAAATAACAAACATGTCTATACTTACCTGCTGTGTGCGGGTAAGTATAGATCCTCCTCTTCTCGGGTCCCCTGCTGACGCTCCTAGCCCCTCCCTCCTGTCAGGTGTCTCCACAGCAAGCAGCTTGCTAAGGGGGCACCTGCTGCTTCGTGTATACATTCACACATGAAACCATGGCTTGGCCCCACCCCCTCTCTCTTCTCATTGGCTCACTGGCTGTGATTGACATCAGTGGGAGCCAATGGCTCCTGCTTCTGTCTCAGCCAATGAGGAGAGGGAGTCTCAGGATAGCCAAGATTCCAGTGCACATCGCTGGATCAGGAGGGGGCTTAGGTGTGCATTTGGGGGGGTGGGGGGTGCTGTACAGAGAAGGTTTTTTACCTTCATACATAAAATGCATGAAGGTAAAAAACCTTGAACCTTTAAAGCCACTTTAAAAAATCTTGCAGAGTTTGAACCACATAGTGTTTGCAATTTGACTATTACTTTTTTTAGGCACAATACCCTTTAGTGAAAACCGTGCATGTTACTAATTTTCAATACTGTAGTGACAAAGCAGATAGCACCACTCATGTAAGTCTTGAATAGTGCAACATCAATGGCACATCAAATGTTTAAGGAGCCTTTTTATTGATCATGAAAATGCAGCACAAATGCAAATGCTAATGTTGGCTTTACCATGGGTTTACTTTGAGTTATATTTGTTCAAGAGAATCAATGTGGGGATTCAGCAGACTGAATTCTTTGTAACCATAATGCACTGCCTGGCATTTAAGCTTACAGTAGGTCACTAGTTTAGAAGGGCTTACAATACATACTTGTGCTGTAAAGTTGTGTACTCGAAAGCTCAACATTTATAATCCCCCTAATACCATAGATGCAATTAATTACATTTAGGTAATCTCTTTCATTAGAAATGTCAGGCAGTCCTAAAAGGAGAGGAAGAGGTTGAGCATATGGAGGTAGTAAGGGGTGAGCAAGTTCTGCAGGACAAACAGTGGTCTAGCCACACCATCTAGATGCAGGGAACATTTGCCCTTCTTATCTCAGAGTAGCCCAGATATACATAGAAAGCATAAGCCAAGGCATGCACAGTATGTGCTGGAACTTCTGGATTGCCTTGCAGTCAATGGCTGTCTGAGAGGGCATTCAATGCTGCAGGAGGTTTGTTAAGGAATTGCTTATCTGCCTTTCCCCTGACAGAGTGGACTGTCTCACTTTCATTAACATGAAACAATCATAGATTACTGAACATCTAGGACTGGAAAGGTGCCACACAATGTTTCTGCAGCAGGACTTCAGCTGACAATTGTCTAATGTTTGCTCAAGAGCAAATCCTCCTTTGTGTCTCAAATTTTGTAACCTATTCTGGTTACCAGGCACTGGAAAGGTGTCACACAATGTTTCCACAGCTGTCAGGTACCTGGCTGTGGATCTTGAGATTACAAGAGTTGCCTCTTGCACAATTCCTGTACAAGCACCCTGGTGGTGAAAACAGGGACTGCTAGGGCAGTGGAAGGGCACTGGTGCCATTTAGTTGGTTCAGTGAACTTGAACTTGGAGATGCTGAGGTTGGATGAGCAGAAATGAGGAGTAAGGCCACAACCAAGTTTGGTAATAGCCAAAGTAAGTAGGTACAGAATCACAATCAAATTCCAGGTCAGAGACAGGCAGGTGTCGGCAACATGCTGCCA